AAGAGTCAAAATATTGTTGTTAGTTTTTTATGTTGCTTTGTTTTTTGTTTTTTGTTTTTTTTGGAAACGCATACAAAAGGTTGTTGTTTTTTATTTATTTCTTCAAGACTTTCCTACAGTAAGAAGTAAAATAATCTGCTTCATCTACAGGAGCTTTAGGAAACAGGATTCTGTTTTTAGTTAGTTTTTAGTGAATCCTCAGTGAATCCTATATTTTGGTCTTCAATTCCACCCCCTAGCCGGCTAGGGGTGTTTCATCAGTAGAGTGTATACTATATGGACCCTCTCACTCTTCTAATGGAAGAGATTTTCATAATTTTTTTCCATCCGTAGTCTCTTTCTGTTGCGGGCCAGCCGTCTGTCTGTTTTTTAAGACTGCATTAATGGTTCAGTTAAGAAATATCTTCAGGTTGTCATTATCAGTGTTAGAGTAATTAGGGATTTTTGCAGCCTATTTAAAAATTTAGTCATCCATTTCTTAAAGACTGTTCTGAGTGTAAATATTCTAACAGTACTTAGTATCTCAGTAAAACATACATATGGAGTAGTTTTCATTTTAAATGCTGAATATTCCTGTGTTTTACTACTTTGGAAATCCTAAAATTTTGTTTCACTATTAAGTTGTTTTTAAGAATTAGAATGATGACAAATATTTCAAAATAGCACTTTACGGTATGGAAAGGAAAGAATTTATTGTGAAATCTCCGTATATGGAATATATGGGAAATATTTAAATCCAGATGTATCCTCTTGCAACACAGCTTATTAAATACACTTAACTACTTGATATTCAGATCTGCTTTATGACCTGAACGTGTGCAGGGATACGGGGAGTAAGTTCTGGCTGTATTTCTATGTTTTCCTTAGTATTTCCAGCTTCAGTTTATTTTAATTTTTAAACAGTTGCAATATATCTGTAACTGTAACAGCCTATGATGTTTTTTGTTACAGCCTACTATGTTTTTTGTTGTGACATTTTTCAGGCAGTAATTGGAAAAGCCTCCTCTCATTTTATTAGTAATAATATTTAAAGAGTACGAAGAACTGGTACCTAGGACTTAATGTCTGGGAAATACATTTATTACAATTTGTACGTCTTATTTTTGTCATGTCGCAAATATTCTTGCGAATAGTAGATGGATGAAGACAGCTACTATGTAATCTTGTCTTCTTCTGTTCTCAGTTGTCTATCACCTAAGTAAAATAGTTTTCTCTGAGTTATTTGTCTGTTTTTCTCCTTTGATCTCTTAGGCATTGACAAAAGATCCACAGGATTATCCTGACAAAAAAAGCTTGCCACATGTGCATGTTGCCATGTGGATAAACTCTCAAGGAGGCCGAAAGGTGAAGGCAGGAGATACAGTGTCATATATCATTTGTCAGGTAAAAATGTGTTTGTTTATAGCTAAATACTAGGTATTGTTTTGAGAGATGGCAAAGAAAGGCAACTCAGCTCCTTTAAAAAAAAAAAAAAGTTTTGATATCTCTTTGCAATGAGATTATGCTGTATTTTAAAATAGTCAGCCTTCTGTACTAAATTCACAAGAGTTTTACAGGGCCAGAAAGGATCACTGTGATCTACTTGGCTTGTCTAACCATTCCCATACAGTAACCGATACAATTTTGCTGAATTAATTTCTTTTGGGAACTGGAAATTATGTTTAAAGAAAATATCTGATCCTAATTTTTAAAGAGAAAAAAGTTCTAGTGATGAAGAAACTGTCCTTCTTGGAAAGCTATTTCGCGGTTATATGCTGTCATTGTTCTTTCCAGTCTCAGCATGCGTATTTTGAATTCCTAGTCATTGGATCTGGCAGTACTTCTGTCTGCTAGACTGGAGAATTTGAGGAGCCTTCTGTTTTCAGGTTTTTGTTTATCTTGTAAATGCTTTTAAAACTTGGGTAAATGATGTAATCTTAGCGACAGTTGGAACAGCAAAGTGGTTGCTTTTCTTTGTACCTCTTGCACTGAGACATGTTTTCCTTTTTTTTTTTTTTGCACTGTCAATTTTGTGTGCTTTCTTTGCACACAAATTGCATATGTTATGTAAATGTACTGTGTCAGTGTCAGATATGGATTTTAAACAGTTTTACAAATTTAACTGAAACTTTCTTGTTGGTACATCTGAGAAATGTTTCTGGCTACAGCCCTCTATTACTGATTCATGTTCTGCTGGTAAGTATTCAGCGTGATATCCTTGGGGTTTTTGGTTTGTTTTTCTTCCCCCAAAATGTAAGCTGGATCAGAATAGAATTCAGTCTCTAGCCCTTTGCCGAGGTACTCCTTCGCCCTCCCGACAAAATATCACAACAAGAAACCCCTTAAATATAACACTGAGACAGTACTGAGCACGTACTCTGAGTCTCGGGAGGAGAGTCTCTTTGATTTGTAGTCACATTGCTTTACTCTGAAACTAAGTTGCTAGAAGGTGTTCAAAAATGCAGTTATGAACGTGGTATAAGCGTGTTTTGGAGGTGTGATTGAGAGGGAGGAACATGCCACACTACATGTAAGTGGGAAGGGATTGCAGCACCCATCTGCATGAAGCATAACTCACAGCACAAAGCCACATATCTTATTATCCTTTAGCATATTCTCCTTTCATTATTGATGAGTTGACTGCTTCTTTCCAGCCATCGCTCCGCAATGCTTTCATTACTCTGATCTTGAATATAAAGTCAAGGAAAGTTTAAATTTAAGGAGTATAAACTCCTCAGGAAAGTTTCTGCCATCCAGTTGATGAAAGCTCGTTTAGGACCACGTAGAAGTAGCTGGAAAAGGTTTTGAGTTTGCTTTTTGATGGCAAGTTTTTTTTTTGTCAGCAGCGGCTTTCTGTTCGTCAAACAGGCTTGCTTTCTTTCTGCTGGTGTGTTCACCTGATGAAGTTCTGTAGGGAACTGTTGTGGAATTATCCTGAGGTTACTTTCCACTAAATGAAGCTTCGGTGAGCCAGCTTTTTCTCCTGCAAACTTCTCTGCCTGTTGGTAAACTTTACTTGTCCTGGAAAATACAGTTGTTATGGTAAAATCAAGAAACCTTTTTGTTTCGTTCAATATCAGTGCAGTGTTCTGAGTTACCATACCGTGTGTTTGACATCTGCTTAATGTTTAGCAGTTTGTTCTAAAAGAACATGGCCTAAAACTAAATTGCTGTGTCCCTGCCTGTTTAAAGGCAGGCAGGCTAAATTCTGCCGATAAGGATGGGAAGTATTTAGCATTCTTCCTCAGCTAGCACTGTCTATTGTGTGTATTAAAGGAATGGAAAGAACACAGATGACATATGTGGAATACGCGACCACATTATCTGCCGTTTCGCAGCAGAGAGATGCTCAGAAGAATAAAGCCATGGATATTCTAAAAATTCTGTTGCTTGATTTTTGTATGTTTGATGTGATTGTCTTTTAAATTTTTTTAAACATTTTTTGAAACACGCGTAACTTTGTAACAAGTACAGACATGAACAATTTATATATCATTATCTCAAAAATATATACTATAGTTTGGATTTGCTATAAAAAGTAAGTGTAGGGTGGATTAGATGGACCAGGGGATGTCTTATGCCAATCTGATGGACTTGGTAACATCTGCAGTGGACCGCTGCTTCAACTCCTTCATCTTTTAAATACTGAAATGTATTGTTCTTTTTTATGTAGTCTGGAATTCTTAGCCTGGCATGAGGAAACTGCCAAGACTTATGAGAGTTGGGCAATGGGTATGGCTGAGCAATAACACAATACAAGAGAAGAATGTACTTGTTGAAAGAAGGAAGCTGAAGGAGTTGCATTGCAATTATTTTTGCAAAGCAGCTGGCTGAGCTGAATAGTCCTAAATTAATTTTGTTCTGAATACTAAGTTGTATGAAAGGAGTAGGAGGGACCAATGGCATGTAGTCTGTCTTTATTAGTGATGGGTTTTCAGTACATGGTTGCTGACCCTGTTGAAGCTAGTATCTCATCTTAAACTGAAGAATGAATGTGCTATATGCCAATGCATATGGGTTTTATTTTGCCTTAAAAAAGGCAAAAAATCGCCCTGTACTTAGGAAAAAATTTATTCTGATTCTTCCTCCTCCCACCCCACACCGAGTTAAGGCTTACTTCTGTCACTGAAAGCTTGTTGAACTACTACTTTCAAGTTTGACAAACATTGAAAATAAAATTTCCTAGTATAGTTGTGGACGGGGCATAACGCTCTACAGATTTAATGAGTTATGTTTTCCAGAAGAATACAGTCTGCCTAGAGCTGAAACTTAATTCCTTCATTAACACTATTTTCATTTTAAATTAAGTATTACCTACTCTAAGTGAATCATTTTCTCCTATTCTTCCTCTTTCTGTTGGAGAAGAATTTGATGTATACTCTGAGCGTCGGAGTGGTGTTCCTCTTGTGACTCATGAGGTCACTAAGTATTTCTTTCAGTGTTTTCACTCCTTCAAATTGATAATATTGTCTCTGTCATTTGTTTGCACGCCAATGACTGCTGGTCTGCTCCCTCTGACTGTTCATTTTATTTGTTTTTTTTATAGAATCTCAGGATACCAATTTCCTTGCAGAGCAGATACAGTTTTGATATCCCGGACTTGGAATTTGCTTGTTGTATAAAATGATAATGTTAGTTTAATACAAAGTGAATCTAAAATGCATGCCCTCTGCATATTTTTAGCTGGGCTGATAGTTACAATGCGTTTTCTTTGTGCATTTCAGAATTGACAGATGGGACTGTTTACTCTGTCTACTCTTACTGATTTGCACATGTAGGCTGCAATAATACAAGCTGGATTTACATTCTTGAACTTGCTAGTTGATGCCAGCAACAGCAATACAATTTTTTTTTTTTTTTTTACTACTGTTGAATTTGTATTGGATGCATGATAAATCAACCAAGAGAGAGCAATTGTGTAACAACTTTGCGTTAAAATAATGCATGATACTTGAAGCCTAATCCTTTGTATAGACTGAATGTGGATTTTACTTTTTTCACACTTTGTTTTGTGTCTCCGTTCTTAGGATGGATCAAATCTGAGTGCCAGCCAGCGAGCATATGCTCCAGAACAGTTGCAAAAACAAGATAATCTTACTATTGATACTCAATACTACCTGTCACAGCAAATACATCCAGTAGTCGCTAGAATATGTGAGCCTATAGAGGGAATTGATTCTGTACTTATTGCAACATGGTTAGGTAAGTATCCTAAATTCAGTTTGTTTAAAGAGTTCCAAGAGACAAAATGAGAAACTTTAATGCACGTCTCTTAACAAAAATGCTTCCCAAAGTCAGTCCTCCTAGAATGAAGGATAACTTGTGTTACATAGTCTGTAGAAAGCAGCTTGGATGGTACGTTTATTTATATGACTTTAGCAGAATAACACTTTTCAGAAGGTGCTCATTAAGATGAGCTTAACCTTTGAAACTTCGTTCAGAGTTTGGAAAAATTCCTGTTCACAAATGACAGTGCTGCTTGCATGTCTTAAGTTATTGAAGTGCCGTGTAGTCCTGGAGTATACGGTCTCTAGCATCTTCCCAGAGAGAAAACAGTCATAGTGAAAGGGTACAGATTTTTAGTGGTATGTAAGCAAAGAGTTTTTATTTCTAGAATTGACCTCCTAGATAATGAAAACATAAAAGCCTTAGTAATGGGTCTTCCTTCCTCCATATGGGGTAGGGAAATGGCCAGAGAAAAAAGGCAGAGGAAGTGCTATGAAAATGTAAGTACTGCTGGTGGCCACAGAATTGCCAGTTTTTATTAAACAAGTTTTTATTCAAATGAGCAGTGTGGAAATGCTCTTAGTGTTGTTTTTACTTTTTAGAGAGTGCCAAAGGAATTAGAATTAGAGATTTTTCTACCCAACTCTGAGTTTCTCCATGTCTTCCCCATTCCTTAGGCTTCTTTTCTGGAAAGAAGTATAGGTCCTGAGAATTTTTAAAAGGTTCAGGGTCGGGCTCTTTCTCTGAAAATACCATGCCATGTCTGTAATTTGCTTCAGTATTGTTTCTTCCCTGAAAATGGTCATCAGACACGATCTTTTTGATGAACAGAAATTTTATGATCTGTATCCCAAATCTAGTCGCTTACTTTTTAAAATTGTGTTACCCATGGACATGGAAAACATTGTTAATCTTGCTGGTTGCTGAATTCTTGACAAGACTGTCTTCTCCCCCAGAAAATATATGTTGGAGTTGCATGGTGTCCGTTTAATCAGCTGCTATTTCGATGCTATATGCATGTCCATAGGAGTGCAGACTTGCAGAAATGCTTTTGTTCAGAAACTTCGGAATGTTTAGAAGAAGAGTTAGACGGCAGCATTTTGTGTGTGGGTGTTGGCCAAGACCCAAGAGTTAATTGTTTTAAACAATCAGGCAGTGTGCAACCTGGCAAAATGGTTCATGTGGGCCAAAGGTTCGATTCATGATGGGCGCACAGTTTGCACTTAAAATGCGTGCAGGTGTAAGTTCCTGTCTTGTTCCTTCTCGAGAAGGGTGATTGCCATGAAAGATCCTTATCCCCCAAGACAGTTTGTGTAATGTGCAGCTTCTGCCATCTCTGTACCAGGTTCACTGTTAAATAGAAAAAAAAAAAAAAAAAA